GTTTGACCTTTAACAACCCTTCTGTGTTGCCTTAGGTGCTCGGAAAAAGCAAAATCCCAAACTTTACTTTGTCATCCAGACAGAGATGTTCCTTTGTTGTCTTTCCAGTGGGTGGCAATCTTTAAATGGCCAGTGGTAAACAGCATGGCAATTAGATCCTTATGTGTGATGGAAGAGGTCTAGATCCATGACAAAAGGGCTCAGTTCCTTATTGAGCTGATTTGTCTCCTCGCATAATTTTTTAAAAATATCTCCATAAGGGTCCACACTTGGAGAATGAATGTATGAGAAGCCCTCTCCTGGGCCTGTTGATGTAATACTTTGCCAGTAGGGTTGTATTCATGATTAGATAGGGATCTTGCAAACCTAGAGATCTTGTGTTCCTATCTTGTACATAATTTGTACATACAGTATGAATTTAAAGCAGGGAGAAAGTATGATCTAGTTAGATATTATCTGTTAATCCAGTACATTAAAAAAAAAAAGACTCTTTCTCCATAAGCATGTTTGGTTGTCCAATACTGGCTCTTCAACAATACGTCAGTTTTATTTATTGATGAGGGGTGGTATTCAACTTAGTTTCACTGTTAAGTAGACCCACTGAAATTAATGGACCTAACTTAATCATGTTCATTAGTTTCAGTAAGTCTACTTTCAATAAAACTTAGTTGAATATCACCCAAGATTTGTTACCCAGCCTTCACCGTAAGCCTCAGGGCAGATTACAGCAATAGGAAATGCAATTATGAAACCAGATAAAGTCATTGTAATTATAGCCTACATAAAATTGTTCCAAATGGAACAGAACGATATCATTACTATGATAGTCCGAACTCCATCAAACTTCTCTGCTATTGTTGGAGCAGTGTTCTGTTTGCAGATCTTTGCAATGCAGATGTTTGCAGCTGTCAGTAGATTAGCCACTGTCAACCTCTAATGCTAGATGCTTTAAATAATCTAGAAGTAGAATTTTGGGTTCCAGGGGTAAGAAATACCCTGTCATTTCATTCATTATTGTTGCCCCAAAAGCATGTATTACTGGAGATCACCAGACTATGTAGATGAAATTTGCCTCCAAATATCTGCATCTCTAACATTTATCCTCAGTTCCTAGATATATCTGCCTCAGTCTTTGTGGGGTTAAAAAGTTTCCTTTCACATCTGCTGAAATCAAATTGTGCAAGATCTCTGCCATTTATTTTGACTCATTAATAGTCACTCCTCGGTTTCTGTCCCTTTGCCATTTCCTCATAAATATATCTGGTTTGTTTGCCAACTCCAGAATCATATTATATGATTTCCCTGTTAATCCCTTATTCTTAGTGTTCGATCATAATGCTTCACATTTGCTTGCCTGCCTCCCTTGAATATTTCCTGAGTAATGCAGTTACGGCTTCTCTCATCTGAAAATACTGAAAGAGAGGTATTACAGTGCCCATAGCTCTTGCAATTTCTTCATAGGACATAATGTTGCATCCATTCATTATATCTTTAATGGAATCTAGGCCCCGCTGAAGTCATATGTTCGTATTCCCCAGCATGCCAGTTGAAAACAATGAAACATTTAGGTGCATTTTGTTTATTGCGCCTAAATACCTCGCCTGCTGTACTTTTGTTATTGTTGAAAACTTACCTGTTCAACTCAGTTTTCCACCAAGGAATGTGCTCTTATTTATATAAAAAAAAGAGAATATGTGATATATTGGATGCTTTAGTAGTGGGTGGGGGAAAAAAAAACACCTTTGTGAAGCATAGGAAGAGAATAAAAGATAAAGCCTGATTTGTTACTGGAGAGATTATCGCACTTGGAAATTTTGACTTTAGAACCAGTTTACTGCCTCATTCATTTCAACCAGTTGCTTTCAGTGTGAAAGGGAGAATGTGCCATTCATATAAAAAAATAGAAAAACTCTCAGCGGACTCATATTTGTAGTAAGATGAAAATTCCCTAAATTCAGATGCCTTCTCCCTGAAAATTAAGACAGTCTTCAGGAGGTGTTTTTGCCTCATACCTCAAAACATTTGCAACTAACTGTGCCAAAATTTGGCACATCATGCATTGAAGCCTCATACAGCTCATGACAAGTGAATCCAGTACGCTGCATCTCATTTCCATCTGACCTCTCTGGAAAGTGCAGCATCAAAGGCTACCGCTTTGCGGAAGAGACAATCTATAAGGGAACTACCACTCTGACTTTTAACACACGGAGAATGCAAGGGGTGTGTTAGCTGCTCCCTCCTGCTTGTTGGCTAGGATTGTTCATAAGTCTTATGTGTGTTTGTAATGAATTCTGAACTCCGTTCACATCCAAATATTGGAGATAACATGCAGTGCTTTCCTTCTGCATATGCAAAGATATAAAACGAACTTGAGCTCATCTGATTAACCTGATTATGACTTTGATGTCAGTGCCATCAGTTGCAGGTGCAGCAGAGTAAAACGTGATTGAATCCCCACCTACCTGGGGGTTACAATCTGGGCACAATCAGCCAAAAACTAACTGCCTATCCTGTTGTAGATGCTATGAAGTTGTGTTGGCCTACTCCACTGTGATGTCCCAGAATGCAGCATTCTGAGACTTCCAAACCACTAAGGAAAACCTGCTTGGAGCATGGAGTCAGCCCGTTGGTAAGTCTCGAGTATATTGCATGGTTTTGCAAAGTTTTGCTTTTGTTTTTATTTTATGTCCTAAAGGGTATAAAATAATAATGAAAAGAAACCTTGCAAAGCAGAGCAATAGACCTTTATAATAATCATCATCACTATCTCCAGATTCCTAACAATTGGCCACACGCTCCAGCAGGGTTTCCTGGGGATCGTTGTCAAAGATTGATGCATTCTGAGCACAGCAATAGTTGTCAGGCCAACGTGAGTTCATGGATACTTGCGTTTTCCCCCCCCTTTTAGCTGTTTGTGCTGAACATGTGTTGTTGGAATTTATTGTGATGTGATTTCACACCACCCTAATATTTTCTTTGCAGCTTGTCTCTTAATCATTTACTTCAAGTAGATACTGAGTTTTGGTTGTTGTTGTTTTTTTGGACTGTCTAAAATGTCTGTTGTAGTACCCCAGCTATGGAATGCTCTTTCCAAAAAGACTCATCTGGTGCCAACTCAGATGGCTTTTGGGGCTCCAGGTGAAGACATTTTCATTTGCCTGGGCCTTTTGATGTTATCTATTTCAGATCTACTTTAATGCTGAAGTGTTACTTATTACATTTTGAGACTTTGCTGCTGCTGCTGCTGTTTTAACTTACTGATGCTGTTGTTTATGTGTTAATCTGCAAACTGCTCTGATGGTTCTTGGAACTGAGGAGCAGGATATAAATACTTGTAATAATTTATTTCCACAGTTGTCAGACCTTTTCCTTTGATAAGCTCTCTTGCTGAAACTGAGGCAAGGGACAAAAAACATGAACCTAATGGCTGAAGGGGGAAGAGCAGTAAATCAGTGATAGAGCAAATGTTTTATATGTTAAAGGTCTCAGATTCAACTCTGGCATCTCCAGATAGAATTGGGAAAAACTGAGGAGCTGAATTCTGGAGAGTGACTTTCAGTTACTGTAGACCAGGGATGGGAAACCTGCGACTCTCCGAATGTTGTTGGACTACAACTCCCAGCAGCCCCAGCCATCATGGTCAGTTATCAGGAATGATGGGAGTTGTAGTCCAACAACATCTGGAAGCCCATAGGTTCCCCATTCATGGTGGAGATAATACTGAACGACATAAACCAATAACCTGAGTTAGTATAAGGCAGATTCCTATGTTCCTAATATCTAGAAGTCTAATGCTCCTAAAAGCCACAGCCTTGCCTTGTTCCTAATTTCTACCTGAGCTTCATTTTACTAACTCTGGTCAATTCCTGTGATTGTTTTGATTAAGTAGTTGATAAGTTTGCCTCATGTCTACACGTGAATGTCCTTCATTTGATTTGCTCAAGAGCTTATAAATTGCAGCTGAGCTCTGTTCAAAAGCAGTGTGTTTGCAGCAGGAGGCAACTTGAAAGTTGTATCTGTGGTGTTTTGAGGAATGGTGGCTCGTTCACACATCCATATCAAGTGACGTGTGTGTGAGAGAGAGAGCTCTAAGAATTAATATGGTAAGAATGACTCGTGCTAGCCCTGATAGTCGCTAGACAGTGGCCGTTTTCAGAAAACACCAAGCTAGATAGGAAAGTGCCTTACACCAGGTTGTTCTGTCTGCCAGTCTAGCCCAGAATTGTCTGCTCTGACTGGCATCAGCTCCCCAGGGCTTCTGAGAGAGCTACTTCCACATCACCTACTACCTGATCCTTTTAACTGTGGCATCTTCTGTGTGCAAAATATATTCTCTACCAGTGAGCGACGGCCCCTTCTACGAAGCTACCTGTTGACAGTTACAGTTACCTCATGAGAAGGATGGTGGCGTGAACTGGTCACTCACTTGACCCACGCTTTGGAAAACTCCCAGTGGCATCCCATGAGTTTTCCCAAGTGTAGCAGAAGGAAGGAATTTTCAGGATTGTAAAAAAAAGTTTGATATGGTGAGATGCTGTAGCACTAACTAGACATGATTGCCCGAACTTGTGTAGGAGAAATGGGGCTGCACGTGTTGGCCCTGCCTGCAAAGTCCCCATGCATGCTGGCTCAGCCCATGGTCTTCCCAAGGCATAGGCAAACTCGGCCCTCCAGATGTTTAAGGACTACAACTCCCATCATCCCTAGCTAGCAGGACCAGTGGTCAGGCATGATGGGAATTGTAGTCCCAAAACATCTGGAGGGCCAAGTTTGACTATACCTGGTCTTCCCACATTGAGCAGTAAGGGGTTTCCAAGCATCTTTGGGCGAACACACATTGCATCCTTTGCACAAATGAGAATTGTTGACAGTTCAGGTTCCCATTCATTCATGTGGAGGATTATGATGGCTTTTGCCAGAATGGGCTTAGGAACTTTTTTTTTATACAGGAAAATTAGAATCAGAAGGGACCATGAGGGCCGTCTAGTCCAGGAATCTATTGCCCGAGGTGGGCCTCTAACCAAAAACCCTGAGATTAAGAATCTCATGCTCTACTAACTTGAACTATCTTAGGCCCTATACTTGTATTGAGATTCCCTGTTCAGGCTTTGTGCAAGGGCTGAGTCAACTCACAGGGAGGCTATTTCAACAGGGAGTAAGTAGGTGGCGTGAATGGCATCGGCAGATCACCATACACAAGCTTGCATCCTCACGCACTCTTGAAATCACCCTTTCTGCTATTGACAGAGATTGACCTCTACAAAAAAGCAAATTTAAAGCACCCCCATATATATAGATAGATAGATAGATAGATAGATAGATAGATAGATATAGGTATATAGATATAGATATATAGATATATATATAGATATATAGCCATTTTTATTTCTGCCCTATGGGATGTACTGCTGTGTGTCTCTTGAGGCTACAACAAAACAGCTTTCCTTTTCAGCATGCCATTGTCTGGTCTTTTGGTACAGATTTCCAGTCGTGCTTTTAACAAATCTTATATCTTTGCAGCGTTTATTCAGGACACCAGTCTATTTTGATTCCTCCCTCAGAATTGGAGACCACGCCTGCTCTCTGGCTTCTGGCTGTGAGTCAGTACAAAGTGAGAGACACCTTTTGCTCTTATTCCGTCATGGAGCTATGTACCAAGGGTCTTGGTTCACAAACGGAATCTCTGAAGGTGAGGAACCCAAGCGCTCCCTTTCCCTTTGCCTCCTTGCTTTTTTGTAGGGTTGACGCGGCAGCATACGTACGAGCCGAATGCGTTCAGTGAGAAGAAATGAGTCAAGGAGTGAGAAAAATCTTCGAAAGAGCGAATAGAATAATTCGTCTTTGCAGGAAGTTTCTCGCCAGCTGTACCCTGGTTATTTTCATAGCACAGGGTTTCAAAGTACCGTATTTTTCACTCTATAAGACGCACCAGACCATAAGATGAACCTAGTTTTTGTGAGAGGAAAACAAGAAAAAATATATTGCGAATCTCAGAAGCCAGAACAGCAAGAGGGATCAGTGCGCAGTGAAAGCAGCAATCCCTCTTGCTGTTCTGGCTTCTGGGATAGCTGCGCAGCCTGAATTCGCTCCATAAGACGCACACACATTTCCCCCTACTTTTTAGGAGGGAAAAAGTGAGACTTATAGAGCAAAAAATACGGTAAATGAACTAGGTGGTGTTTACCTTTGCCCTTTCTGCCCTGCAACTGCACTGCGGCCACGCTTGCATCCTGTGACCACACTGCAAACCCACTCCTCACACCAGCAATTAGGCTTGGAAAAAGTAAAGCATAATTGAAGTGTGTGAGATCTTCCTAGACAGGTGTAATCTCTACAAAGGTCACCCCAACAGTTTTTATACCTTCCCCCCGCAATAAAACTTTTTTTAAAAAAAATACTTTACTGGACCCAATAGAAGACATTTTTTTCCAAGTCTCATCGCAATGAGGAAGGGGCAGTTTTTGGGGCTGCAGCTTAGAGAGACGGGCCAGCCCTTTCTTCCCTAGTTGTCCCCCCGCCTCTGAAAATGTCCATCTCCTGTTCCAGTTTTATTGTACTAAATAGAAGGAGACTTTCAAGTCTTAATTGCAGCATAGGGTCATTTTTAGTGACAGCGAGAGTTAACCTTTTCCTCTCCAGCCTTGACTGCTCCCAAAACCACTCCTCCACCATGCTGCAATTAGCTTTAAAGAACACTTCTGTAGGCTCTGATATATGACTCATTCCGTATCAAGTGATCCAGCTTTCTTTTACCTCGTGTCATCCAGTTTTCTTAATGTTTTGTACACTTGTTCAATGATCAAAACCAAGTTTAAATCTGAAATTTTAATGTTTTTATCTCATCCCGTTTGTGAGTTATGAGGGTTTGAAATTTCAAAAATAAATAAATGACAGTTTGGGCCTTGCCAGACTACACAAAAACTTTAAAAACTCAGCCCAGAATTGAGATGTCAAAACTAAAAACACCAATCTCTTCTGAGCTTCATGGGCTTTAATATATGTCACATGATGGATTTACGTTAAATTTTAAATTGAAGTTACAAAATTGAAAAATGTAAAAAATTTTTTTTTTTAATTATGTGATTAGAAATTTCCCAAAAATGTATTTGTTATTTAATATTTCTAAGAGCTACCTGCAAAATTTCACCTTGGGATCTCAATGGGATCACATTAGAAAAAAAATATTTTGCACATACATGTCAGCCTTATTGGGTTCTATTTAGGATAAATGGGTCTTCTTGGAGTAAAATATAACAGAATAACCAAGAATTCAAACTATAATATCAGTTACTTCAGGCATTTCTTTAGAAAGTTATTCCATTAAAATGTATCTGAAAAGCTAGTCGGGCTTTTCTTTTAAAAATATGTTCCAAAGCCGAGTAATGGTCATCTTAGAGGCACTTTTCTCTGTGGAAGCACCCAGATTGTGGATCTCCCTGCCTTGAGAGACTCTCCTTCCTTCCCATTTAGTAGTTTTTGCCATTAGGTGAAAACAGGGGATTCTCTGATTCTATATTTGTTATTTTGGTGATTTGCTCAGATGCTGCCTGATCATTTTCTTAAATTGTAAACTATTTTATTTGTATTATTTGGTGTGTTTTTAAGGTTTTAAACTGATTCAAAAAAAATTTGGGAGTGGGAAAACAAGGGTAAAAGTTCAGCCAATAAATGAACTCTTAAGATATTAGCAGCAATAATTGATTCAATGAATGTTTTGCAGTATCCTTTAAACCACATTCGTCCCTCTTAATTTCTGAGGCCTGTTTTTGGCATCCTTTAGAACTGATTATGTGCAAAAAGGAACGATCTATCCAAAAAGCAGGAAGATATAGAGCGCAGCCCAGAAAGTTCTACTTTCCAACAGGTGTTGCCCATGCAGGGGAACAGATCCACGAAATTGTGAAATTAGTTAAGAAATGAGGTTCTGTAGGGAGGTGGCTTCCAAGAACAGTCCACAGAATGGTCAGATACAGTTCTGTTGTAGTTATTCAGGTCTGGTTTTTCTAAGCTGCCTGAATGGGAGACCATGTGAGAGCCATATAGAAGCCACTTAAGGCTTATTGGACCAAGCATTTTCATATTTCTTTTAATAAAATACGTATTTTGGGATACAAGCAAACCCTTGGGGGAAATGCTTATATGCCCTATCTTTACATCCTTGTATTAATTTTAATTTAGCATCTGTTATTGGTTGATAAACTACTCTAGATTATGCTGCATCCAAATTTTCAGAATGGCTTCATTTAGATATGAGTCTGACCTATGATTATTTACCATTACAGGAGTTTGAGGTTTTGTATTCCCTTACCTCTCTGATTTCAGTTAAACACAGTTTACTGTGGTGTCCAAATCCTAAAGTGTGGTTAATTTTAACTACGGTTTCCTGAAACAAGCCAGCTTCGTAAACCATGGTTTGAAGTTGGTTTGTTTAAGAAAATCATAGTTTTGACTAGGGTTGGGAAGCCCGTTATCCTCCAGGGACTGCTGGCTTCCAAGTCCTATAATCTACAGTCAGCATAGCCAGTGGTTATGGATGAGATGGGACCTGTAGTTCAGCAACCTCAGGAAGGCTGCAGGTTTCCCATCCCTGGTTTATACTAACAGCAGTAGATGCAACAATAAACAGTGGTTAGTTAAGAGCAGCAGAAAATGCTTCCAGTCCCTTGGCCACGCTGGAGGAGGAAGGGGGGCGTACAGTTGCAAGATCACACAACACAAAGCCATAGTGTTGCATCAGAACAAGGCCAATAAAAGTATCCAAATAAAACAAATATTCCCAGACTTACAGGCAGCTAGTATTCTGCTTCAATCAGCTTTAAACAGCCTTAAGTAAGTCCCATTGTATTCAGTGGTCCCTAAGCAGACCTTGAACCTTTTAATGGGTTTGTATCCCACTTTTCTAGGCGACTGTATGCAATACGACGAACAAAAGGTTACACAAAACTGTTAGACAACCTTCACTATGGGTGCAAGGTAGATTACAGCAATTTGAGCGGTCTCCACCTGTCCCTAAAAAGCTCACAATTTAGGTCACATAAATGGCTTAAGGAAATGGCAAACAAAAAAATGGCAGGTTGATGTGTGTTGTTGCTCTTGCTCCCCTTATCCCAAAACAAGGCTGTTCCACAACACAGACTTTGGTCTGCTTCTGTTTCTCTCCTTCTTCCAATTCTGAGTTTTAAATTAACTCTTCCAGAACTCCCACCCAACCCCTGCAGTTTTTAAGAAAAGGTGTTCTTGAGTGGATGGCGACATTTCACCTTGCCGGAGGACACTACTCTTCCCGCTCAAAGCGCACTTGGTTCAGAAATTTCTGAAATGACCTGACTAAATGCCAACAAGCTCCCATGGGATAACTTGAGTTCTGTACCTCGTTTCCAGGCAAGGGGACTGGACCTCTCAAGAGTGCGGACGTGTGTGGTTGTGGCAGAAGAACGGCCTCGGATAGCTCTGACGCAGTCCTTTTCAAAGCTTTTCAAAGATCTGGGCCTCCACCCCAGGGCTGTCAGCACATCATTTGGCTGCAGAGTTAACCTGGCTATATGTTTGCAGGTAAGAATCTCTCTCTCCTTTCCTGACAGCAATCTTAGAAGCAACCCTTTTGAAATAAGGACATGGCGATGTTCCACACAATACAGCTTGGTTAACCAATGCATGCCATGCTTAAATGTTCCTCTTTCATAATGCAAGAAGTGTAGTTTTTCTGTATTGTTTTTTACTGAGCATTTTCCATAAAGCCTTCACATCCCATTTATAGCATTTATTCTGCCCCAAACTTAAAAAAGCAATGCAGCAAAAGTTTGTCTTGTAGTTCTTACATTTGTAACATATGAAAGTCAGCCTTGTTAAAGTTGCTGTAGCTGTCCTGCCAAGTGCTTGAGTATCTAAATATCTATATCTTCCTTTGTGTAGAACAGTAATTTGACAGGGGCATGATTCTCATGCACATAGCATGGACTACTCATCTTAAAATAATGCTTGCTATTGTGGCTTGTGTTGAAGGTAGAAGAAACATCTGTATTGATTCTCCAGGTAGAAATTGGCAGAAAGAATTTAATAATACTAATACTAATAA